TGCTTCAAAATACACCTTGTTATCCAAGCGATTTCTGGTTGCCAGTGCATGTAAACCAACATCAAAGATGAGTACGTTTTTTGTTCTGTATTAGCATTGATATGGGGTGGGGGGTAACATTTATGCCTACAACTTTTAATCAGCAGAATATATTTTCTTGTTTTTAGTACCAAAGTGTATAAGAATACATTTCTTATCATTTGGTATGAAGAAAATGTAATTACATCGTTAATTATGTCACAAGAGGTCAAAAGGTCATCAACGAAAGATCAACATCGAATTGACCCAAAATATATCAAAACTCTCAATAATAGTTTTCCTATCATGTTAAAATGAAATGAACATAGATACAAGTTAGTTGAAGTAAAAAATATATTAAAATACAAATATAGATAACATTGGAACATCTTGCTCCAATCATTACAGAGTTATGGCTCCAAAAGTATGTGGGCGTGTCTATATTATGCATTCACCATGGGATTTTGATATGAATGAAAAAGATCTTAACTAGTTTTAAGTAGCAGTTGTGATGCTGAAAACTTTTGAGGTAGCTTACAAGTAACTGGTCTATTATTACAGGACGCCAAAAGGTCATCAACCACAGATCAAAATCGAATTCAGTCAAACTGTATATTAAACCTCTCAATAATATTTTACTTATTCTATTCAAACTAAATTAACATGGATAAAAGTTAGCTATAGTAAAACATATATTAAAATACATTTATAGATAAAATTGTAACATTTTAGCTTCACTCATTTCAAAATTATGGCTCTGAAAATATGTGGGTGTGTCTATATGATGCATTCACAATTAGATTTTGTTGTAAATTAAAAAGTTATTAACTGACTTTAAATAGCAGCTATGAATCTGAAAACTAGTGATAAAGCTTAGAATAGAAGTGGAATGTATATTATAAAATATATTTTCACAATTGTGATACATAAATAACTAGTAAATATGAACTACGTAATAGAGTATGGGTGTGTCCATTTTATGCACAAGAAAAGGATTTGAAGTTTATATAATATGATAATGATGAAACAGGGTATCCACTTACACTTTTTCTAATTATTATGTAACTGTCAGTGGTGTTACATATTAAGTTGCCTATACATCACCATGAATTGCATTTAATACATAAATTTATATATATATATATATATATATATATATTATATACAGTATGCATATACGAATTAAGTTTGTAAATTAGCTATATGCGCTATAAAATCATTAGAAATAAAATATATATGTAATAACAATTATACATATATTTAATATATAAATATAATGTATATAGCATAATTACCGTACATATATATTATATATACAGTAGGCCCTATATGTAGAAATTATATATACATTGCTTATAAAGTACAGTATATATATATATATGTATATATATGTATATATATATATATATGTATGTTTGTATATACAGTATATATATTAAATATATTATGTTCATATACTGTATAAATATTCTGTATATATATAATATATACTGTATGTGTTTAATAATAATAATAATAATAATAATAATAATAATAATAATAATAATAATAATAATAATAATGTGGTCTTATAGAGCGCTTAATACCAAACAAATACTTCTAAGCGCTTTACAAAAACAGAAAAGAAAAGGAGGGATACCAAAGAAATATCCTAACAGAAAAAAACCAAAAAGCAAATACGCAGAGGAACCATTTTCACCGCTCCGTTCTCCAGCACTTTGAAGCTCCCATAATAGAGAGTTCGCCGGAACAGAACTCACAGGAGCTTGAGAGAAATTGGCATCTGACTATCCTATCCTACCACAAAAGAAATGTATAAAGTAAATTTGATATAATCAATGACTAGGGTTTAAACATAGAGAAAATAGAACAGTCTTTATGGTTTAAACAAGAGGGGCAAAGTAAACTGTAAAAAGATGATGTTTTAGACATTTAAAAAAAATGTCAACTGACGCCGTCTCTTTAATTGCTTGTGGAAGATCATTCCAGAGATGAGCAGAACCTTATATGTATATATGTATACCATACATACATACATACATAATTATACTATACAGTAATATAATATATACATAATAGTGTACAGTGCATATAAATATATATTAGGTATATACTGTAACTGTATATACTATATAAATATACTATATATGCTGTTTTTATACAGTATATATAGGCCTATATATATATATATATATATATATATATATATATATAGAATCTAATTAAAACGGAACAGTAGAGAATGATGCACGGTAGAGATTGCATCTTTAGATCTCCGATCTTGTTCAAAAATTCACGGACTAGTGCTGTCTCGTAAGAATTTTGTAGGACACGTTAAGAATGACAAAATATTCTCTGTATCTACTGGAACCGAGCCACATAGCTTATATTCCACTATTTACATTCACACCTGGGCTGTGTGTATATATTGCCTTGGTTTGGCTCTGTAATCATTAGTGGCCGTGGGACTAGTTTGGGCCCTACCTAAGCTGGTCGAACGTTTCGTTTGGGTCTATACCCTAGCTGCACTGATGAGGCCTGAAATGCCGAAACGGATCCGTCTGCAGATATTGGGATTCCTTCCAGTGGATGCTTAGTTTATTCTGTCATTCTGATCGGATTTTCTCTACTGTTCCGTTTTAATTTTAAATAGTTTTGCATTATGTGGCCGTTTGCTGTTTTATGGGTTTTTCCCATTTGCCTTTTAA